CCAGCTGGTGCCGGGGTGGGGTGCAGGATGTGGACATGGCAGCACTGGGAGTGGGGGCTATGTCCTGCTGCTGCTTGTTGTCTTCCGCCTGGAGTGAGCCACGCTTGCATCCCGCCCCCCCCTACTCCAACCCGACTGGGCCAGCGGCAGCAGGGCATAGCCCCCGCTCCGAGCTCTGCTGCACCCTCATCCCACGCCCCCCTTCCTGAGTAATGTGCCCTCCCATCCCAGCTGGGCAGTTTGTCCTAGCCCCAGCCCCTTCCCTCCCCTTTCCCCCCACCCCAACGGGCTTACCAGCTGTCAGCTGCCCGTTTAGTTTGTGGCCGAATCTCTGAAGTGGCGCCAAATCTTTCAGATTTGATTTGGCCAAATCAAATTGGGACAGTGATTTGAATCTCTGAATCAAATCACTGTCTTCTGAATCAGCTGAATCCGAATCTGAAGCGAATACTTGCCGCTTTGCACAGGCCTAATGTGTACACATGTGCACATACTTTTAAAAATACAGAAAATATGTATTTATCATTTCTATCACCATGAAATGTAGCCTGTTGTGGGATAGAATTAAGTTAATCAACAGCTCATAGAAACACCATCCAGCAGTTTATGATCAGAAGAGAAGAGAATAGTGCAGTCCCAGCAGATGTGTTTAGGGAGGAAGCTTAGGAGAGAAAATGGTAAAGATTGAATCAAAATATTAAGGCTGGTGAGGACCAAATATAGGTCTGTGGAAATGTAAAAATGGCTATTCTATTAAGATAAATACTTTGAACAATCCTGGCCTATAAACTGTATCCTTGCTCGTTTCTCTTACTGTGTATTGTTGCTGATTTCTTCATGTTATATTTTTCTTTCTTAGTGTCTGTGATGGCAGTAGAAGAATATGAAGAGCTCCAGGTGAACTTCGACTTGGAGAAGAACCTCCGGAAAAAAGCAGAGTCGTTTGCACAAGAGGTTGGTAGTTCAAAAGAAGTTCTGCAGATGAAAGAGCTACTCCAAACATGGGCCTTGAGATTAAATTTTAATTTAAAAGCATGAAAGAGATGCGAGCAGGCTTTGTGCCTAAAGCATATGATCTTTGTTTAGGTCCCAGCCCTCTTACCGATCCCTTTTTATAATCTTGGGTAAGCCACACAATTTTCATAATAAATTATGCAATAATACTTCACAGGCATGTTTGCACAATTTAATAGGCATTACATAGCGCTATAGAGTCATTGCGGGGGGAACGTTGCAGAAGTGTAAAATATTTTTGATGTTTATATATTAAATTCAGTTACACTCCTCATTTCCTTGTGTGAGTTCTGCATTTAAATTGTCAGGGCTCAGACAGCTATAACATTCGAACGTATTTCCAGCAGATGGGTTTGGCAAGGAGGAATTTCTTATTTATTTACTTTTTTTAAAAAAACCTTAAATTTTAGCGTACTCATAAAATATGTGGACCCCACTGAAGAATTACAAATAGTGTTTGTTCAGATATGTGAATTATGGCTGCAGTTTGCTGCATGTCTTTAGAGCAGACCCACAAGTGTTGAAAACTTCAGGCTGAATATTCTGCTTTCACCTGCAGACAGGGATAAGATGTAAAAGCTCAGATTTTGGTGTTTTATGAAAATAGTGGGGTTGGAGTATTGTAAATGTGATGATCCTGGACATGTACTAGAGGCAAGGATTTTTTGTGCTATTGTTTATTGGACCAGCTGTATAGTTGGGAGAGCTGTTAGAAAAGCTTATGGCTCTCAAACCCCTTCTTCAGGTCTCCTGCTCTTCTATCAGGTGCTTTGAAGAAGGCTTTGGTGCCAGGAAGCTTGTTTAACAGCTCTTCCAACTATAAAGGTATCGTAAGAAATTCTTGCTTCTCATACATTATGAAAATACAAAGAGGAAAATAATCTCCAGTATATTATAAAGGAATCCCTTTCACCATCGTTCCAATATTGCCTCCCATGGAAATCCTGATGATACTTTCTTGTAATATTGCCAGTCCTAAAAGCTTTAAAAGCATAATGTTGGCTTAAAATCACAAGTTTTTTTAAAAAGTTGACATCTTTTTATATTTGCATTCTGCTTTTGAATCTTGAGTGTATATTTTTCAAGCATTTTTTCCCATTAAAAACAGCTGGGGAAGAATTTTTTTTTTTAATGGATTCAAGTATTGCAGTGCTTGTAGTAATTTGGAGGCCCTGAATGTAAGTGTTGTGAACCAAAGGAATGTTTTAAGCCTAGTTTGAAATGTTTGGTAGATTTGAACATGTGATGTAGGCAGAAAGAGATTTTCATTTCCTAGGAGTTAATTTTTTTGGCTCTTTGGCTGTCTTTTTTAACTAGTCTTCCTATGAAATCAGTGTGCCCACAAGGTTAGCCATCAGATTGTATTGGAGGGCATATCTAATTTGCAAGATTCTGAAAAGCAATGAGTATGTTATGGTGTAGATGTTTAGATTCCCAGCTAGACCTTTGCTTTGGCCTATGTATTCAAGACCTTCATATAAGAAAAGAGTTATACAGCGGGTCATAAAAACAGAAGAAATCGTTGTGGGTCAAGGGTCCTCAAAAGGTCAAGAATGAACTTGGGTCTGGGAGGTAGAGGGGAAGCTGTTAAGTGTAACCCAGCGTGATTTCGATTTGCTTCTTTCCTTTCTAATATTGATGGGGCCATTGTAGAGGTTCATGAGTTAATGACTGTTTGGCTCAACAGAGCTGTGCCTCTAAATTAAGGCAGTAGAAGCTTGTGATTTTAGAACCAGAAGCCCTGCTACCCACAACCGAGCAACAGAGCATTTGTTTTTAATGAGCCACAAGGATTCTACCTACAGGATGGAACATAGAAGATTTAGCACCCCAAAACCTAATGTATTTTGTTGGTGGACACAGCGCATAACTGTCTTGCTAGTTCATATTCAGCTTTGTATTTAAATCAGTACAAATAATTAAGGAGAAAATAAGATTTTCAACATCAGATCATCATTCATCTGTATAGGAACAAAGACCCTCTGGCGTCATCAGCTCTACTTCATACAGCCACATCATATCATCTCATTCATAACGTGGTCAGATGCTTTCCCCATGCTGCTCCTACTAGAAAGTTGTCTCAGAACCTTGCTGTTCTGGTGGGTAGAAACCTTCTAATTTCCAGTCTTCATTTATTCCTGGCCATTTTGTACCTATTTATTTTGTACCAACACTGTTCTTTAGTTTAAATAGCCCTTCTCCTTTATCTGATGCATCAGTTGGGAACAGCCATATCGCTTCTCAGCCTTTGTTTTGCTCACCTAAACAAAGACGAGCTCTTTTAAGCTCCTCTCATAACCCTTGATCATCCTAGTAGCACTTTTGTGTACATTTTCCAGCTCAAATTAATTTTCCTTGAAAATAGGTGACCAGAAGTATATGCAGCGTTCCAGTGAACGCTCACCTGTGCCTAGTACAATAGCATCGCCACTTCATGTCCCTATAGAGGATGCTTCTCTTGAGACGTCCTGTAGAGTTTCATTTGTCTGTGTTTTAGCTGCTTCATATTTGCGGCTCAGTCCTGTCATCAGTTTATACACTGAGTCTTACCCCAGGTGTGATATTTCCAACCGATGAACTCTTAGAAATTCTTGTTGTTTGTCCCCCCACCCAGGCATGACCTTGCATTGTGCTATTAGGTTTCATCCTGTTGCTTTTATACCAGTCCTTGAGGCACCCATTTCTTCCTGTATGATATTTCAGTCCTCATCTGTATTGACAATGTCTTTCAATTCCTGCCTTTTTTGTGCCAAGGTCACTAATAAGAATATTAAATCAAATCTGTGTCCAATCAACCTTTGAGGGACTGTCAGTAACCCCATCCAGCCTTATAGTTCTTCCTTCAGTCTAACCCAGTTGTCTTCCCGTTAGTTGGTTTCTCACCCAACTTATAGAAACTGTATTAATCACCATTTTCTCCAGTTTAATCATTTTGAATGTGGCACTATATCATATGTTTTAGTGAAGTTTGTATTATTATATTTCCATTGTCTAGAGAACCTCTTGTTCTGTTCAGGAAACATATCAGGTTTAATTTGGCTTGGGTGACTTTTCATAAACACATTTATCAGTTCAGTTGCTAAACCTTTAATCACTTGATTAATCAGTTTGTTATAAACAAAGCAGATTTGAGGTTTACATAATCTACCTTAATGCACCTGTCCAAGCATCTTCTTCATACATTATATATGCAATGATAGCAACACAGATCAAGTTAGCCACCTGCCCCGAACCAGAAATGATTAGTAAAAGGGATATAAAAATCAACTCCTCAACACTTCTTATACACATTGGCCTCAGATCATCAGGACAGAGGTGGGTTTTGCAGAATAATCTTAGAGCCAGTAGCTTTGGGCTAATATGGATGAAAAAAGAGTTATTTTTTTTTTTGAGTCAAAGAGATTTTGTATACAGCTTGCTAGCTACTCATTTCTCCTGTGTGCGCCCCCATTTTTTAATATTGAGGGGCAGAGAGCTAGAATATCTCTGCTGGCCTCCACTGTGAGAAGATGGCAAGGGGAGAGTTGCAGTTTCAGGCCTTTAAGATCTGATCCAAAGCCCCCTGAAGCCTTTTAGAAATTAAAACCAAAAACAGTCCCTCCCCACGCGCCGCCCCCCCTCCCACTTTAAATTCCATCCAGGTGAATTTATGTACATTCAGCTCATTAGCTAAATGGAAGGTAAATGTTGCCTGTATTTATTAAGTACTGAATATTTATCTTAAGACTGCATGCTTTAAAATTCTGCGCAGGATAATGTTAGCTGGTTGTAAATATTTTTTTCTTGGGAAACCTGAACTTGCGCATCACACTGACTGGTCTCCTGCAAGTGAATACTGCAATTTTTCTCTGCCTTTAACTCTCCTGGAGCTATATAGTACCTGCTGTTTTATTACCTTTTTTCCCTATATGTTTGTCTGCCATGAAACCCGTATAACTTTTATGTCCTAAAAACCAATATAGAATTACCAAGCATCACCTAGTATACCCTACATTTTACTAAATTTCTTTCAGATTTCTTACCATTGATTTAGCTTTACCTTCTGACAGCAGTTATTTGCTTCTGCATGCTGGATGATGCAAAGGTTATTGGTTTAAAAGGCCTTACCTCTCTGAGGTAAGCAGCATGGAAATACAAAGCTAGACTATTTTTTAATAATGCTCTGGGTTTGGAACGTTGTGCTGTCTTATTTGATCAGCGTAACAGTACTGGCATATCCCCAGATAAAATGACATGCAATCAAAGCTATATACTATGTA